GGTCTCAGTGCTGCTCCTCTGCCCTGCCCCGCGGTCTCAGTGCTGCTCCTCTGCTCTGCCCCATGATGTCGGTGCTGTGGCCTCTGGTGCCTTTGGGGACTCTACCACTTTAGACAGGGATCTACTGTGAGCTCTGCTGGTGGCTCATTCTTTCTCGATGGTCATGGGATTTTCTTGCTTGTTTCTGAGATGGTTCACTGGTATACCCAGCAGAATGGCAACATGACCAATCCCTGCATTCGAGTCTTCTACATCTTATTTACACTATTGGGGTGGGGTGGGGAATCATGGATAGTATGGATAGTACAGCCATATTAAGCAATTTCACTTCACCATAGGAGAAGAGGATTGAGGAACTCAAGCCAGACACTCTCTGGGCCCACTCGTGCACTACATCACACACACACACACACACACTCAGAAATGGAACCCCACCCTCATGTCAGACACATCCTTCTGTGGTATCACCATCCCTATTTTATGTGGAAGCTGAGCCCAGAGGGTCCGCATGGCTCATTGGCAATCAGATCCAAGGACATCATTGAGTAGGAACCCAAACCTTTGTCTCTGCCTGACTCTGAAGATACTGCTTTCCTGCCCACAGGACACACACACTAGCCACAGTTCCTGTGTCCCCAAGGACACAAAATGCACACATCACAGTACTGCCCAAATGCCTCCCTGATACAGACAGGCACACACCTACGAATTGCACACCCCAGACATTCAACCAATATGCACACACAGATCAATGAGATGAGCCAAAGCACTTAGAATCCTACTCTGAGACCCTCAGTGACTGTCACTTGGCTAAACGAATACACAACACAGGAGTCAAAATGTCTTGCTACAAAATCCTAGAAACCTTTATTTAAAATATCAAACCGTGAAGACATTGTTTCTCAGCATATTCTCCACTCAGGTCTATAGACTTTGTCCATCTGTCCAAACTTCCCCTGACAAAGCCTTCACACTTCAATTCTACTAGGACAGCTCCTGCTATTCTCGAAGGAGCAGGTGCATTATCCTAAGGGAAAAAATACCAGGACAATTGTGCCGAGGACATTTTTTCCTTCATGACCAATCCCCAAGACTAAGGGCCCTTAGTCACCCTCCAGGTCTGCGACTGATCTCGCACCCGTGTTAGACTAATCAGCTATTTATGACCAAAAGGGCAGCATTTGCCCAAGGACAGACAGAGGGCTAGGAGAGGAGGACGAACGGAAACAGGAGGCACAGGGAGGAAGTGGGCTAAGGAACTGGACACTATGCCACCAGTGAGTTGAAACAAGTGTGTCTGAATGATTGATTGTAAAGCTGATGATCTGCTCTGTGAACCTTCGCCGAACTCACACGAAATGTTAAAAATGAAAAGCCGTCTTCGTAATAAGCTCTATGATTGCCCGGTGTTGAGAAAACCCATCAAGATGATCTCTTTGGATGCCGAAAGAAAAGAAATGAAACAAAACCAAACCAGTTGCCATAACCTTTTAAGCTGGCCTCTCTCCCTTGTATTTCACAAGCCCAGCAGGAGTCACTGTTTTGACTGGACCATCATTATTATTATTATTTTCTGAAGGTACCCTAATGAGAGTAAGACAAGTGTATTACTGAGGCACCCACGGGTCACAGAGACATGTTTAAGCATGTTTTGTTTGGAATAAACTTGTGCGCGCATGAACTGGAAGTGTAGTAGTGGTCCTTTTTTTTACTTACTTCATGTAAAAGCACCCAGTGCATACTTTAGACCCCCCTTAGGGTCCACAGACCATAAATATGTGCATAACCCAGCACACGGCTGTGCACTCACACATGGGAAGCGGTGTCTTGTGAACCTAAGCTGTGTACCCAGCCCTGGGTGGACACAGGATTGTGGAATGAATCAGACTCAGTCCCCGGGAGACAAGGATTAAATGCATAGAAACTTGACGAAAGGACAGAGCTGCATTTAATTAAAGGCTTACTGGTGATGGAGGGTGGCAAGAATGAAATGCGTGGTGGTGGGGCGGGTGGGTGCTGGTAGGGGTGGGGGTCAGGATTGAAAGATAAAGAGGCATTCCCAGGAGACGGGGAGAAAGGGCCAAGGCAGGACTGAGTGGGCTTGAGGGAAGTGAGGAGGGCAAGGGGAGGACACAGACACCCTGGCACACTCTGGTGCCCACACGGCACCTTCCTGAGTGTCGACTGAAGTGCAGGCTGACAGACTATGGGCGTTTTTCCTGCCTGGCAGTATCCCTGATCAATAAAATCAATAAACTCAGTCATGGCTATGAGCCGTGGCAGCCTGGCTATCATCGGATTCTGTTTTTTTTTTCTGTCTGGAAGCTCCACTGAAACCCGTTCACTCTGGGTGATCCTGCTCACATTGGAAATACCAGTGACGTCGCTTCCCGCATCACAGCAACTCACAAGCCACCAGAGTATGTCAAACTGACAGACAAGTGGTGGACCAATAGTAACATTGTCATAAATGGAGACAAGATTGAGGTTGTCTGGGATTTCATCTTGCTTGGATCCACAATCAGTGCTCCTGGAAGTAGCAGTCAAGAGATCTCATATGTCCAGATCACTGAAGATAAGGGCTCCACAGCAAAGTGAGTAAAGAAACCAGATGGTGCCTGACTATCAGAAAGGATAGCGTCTGGAGTCTTAAAGGCTTGTTGTAACTCAAGCAGTGAGGTTTCATCCAAGTTCCCGTAGAAGAAACACAACTGCCTGTGTGATCCAAGGAATGTAAACAGCAAAATCCAAATCCCAAAGAGGAAATGGTATCAGAGCTTAAATTGTGAACACTGCTTGCAGAAGGCTAGGAATGACAGTGGAAGCCCCACACCCATTTGCAGGGTCCCCAATAGATTAAACTTCCAGAAATCCACTCTGATCCTAGTCCAGGGATGTGATGAGCCTTGCTACCAGGCAGAGTGTATGGTAAAGTGGACTCTGGCAGATGTAGTCAGGTTTAAATGTCATACTTTATCATTCGATTTCCCTTTTGATTCATTTTAAAGTTTGAACTTTTACTATCTTATGCTTTCTTTTGGAAGGAGGTTTTTCTAAGTTTTGTCCAGTCATTGTTGTTTATTTGTTGTTGTTTAACTGCTTCCTTGTGTATTACGAGTGATTTTCTGTATAGAAAGCCCAGGATGGGTGAATTTACATGGACAGTAACAGGTATGATATAACTTGAGTCTTGGTGGGGTGGATGCGGGTGCAGTTAGGGAGATAAGGGCGAGGAGTACCAGACGAAAATGAGTGCACAAATCTTCTTATATTGTATGATACGTGAGTACACCCCAATAATTTTTTTTTTTTAAAGAAGAGATCCTAAATGTCTCTGTCATCAGCGGGTGGGGTGACCAGGCTAAGTCTCTTCCCGGAGGAACTGGCAACCATAGAGTCCTTCCGGAAACTGGAGCTAGAATGGCCGCACGAGCGGTTCCTGCGCCAGGGTTTTCCGGAAGTCGCCCTGCGCGGGGGCGGAAACGGAAGCGTTTTAGGGTGGGGAAGGCGCTGTGGGTAGCGTGTGGCGATTGCGATTGCGTGGTGAGCGGGTGGGAAGCGAAGCTCCGAGGATCCGTTCGGGCGCCGCGGTAGTGAGGGGCCCCGAGCACTCAAGGCCGGGGAGTGTGGAGCATCTCCGTGGGTGGTCCCCCAAGTCTGAGGTGCGGATTCCTGGGGCCGAGAGGGGCGGGGTCGCGGTGGGGCCGAGGCCGGAGGGCTCGGCGTCGTGAGAAAATCCGTTCCCGAACTCCCGGCCCCGCAGCTCCCAGGCGTCATGGCGGTCCGAGCGTCCTTCGAGAACAATTGTGAGATCGGCTGCTTTGCTAAGCTCACCAACACTTACTGCCTGGTGGCCATCGGGGGATCGGAGAACTTCTACAGGTGCGGGCCGGAGCCCCGGGCCGGCGGGCCGCGGGTGGGAGGGTGCCGGGGAGGGGTGCTGGGAGCCGGGGGCGCCCGCCGCGGGAGGGCACGGATCCCGCAGCGCCGTGACCGCCGAGTCCATGTCCCCGCAGTGTGTTCGAGGGTGAACTCTCCGAAACCATCCCCGTGGTTCACGCGTCCATCGCCGGCTGTCGGATCATCGGACGCATGTGTGTGGGTAAGGCAGGTGGAGGCGCCGAGGGAGGAGAGGCGCCTCCCGCACCTGTTCAGTACAGCCCCAGGAGGACCGAGAGGGACCCGGGGCCTCCCCAACTCTAGAACCTCCAGATTCTTGGAGGTGGAAAGGACCCCGTCTGGGTATCAGCCGATCTCGGCGGCAAACTCGGACCAAGGCTTTAGGAACAGAATGATCACGAAGATCAAGTGCTCTGGGTTATGCAGGAGCTGTTGGCTGCCAGGTCAGGGGGTTGAGCCCACCAGCCAGTGGCCCTTTGGGAGAAAGATTGACTGCACCTGTAGTAAAGATTTCATCCCAAGTCCACAGGGCAGGTTTCCTTTGTCCTATAAGGTCGCCATGCACCTGCATTGATCGGATGGCAGTGGATTTAGTTTAGGTTTTTGATTCACCCTTTAGCATTTTATTCTTTCTTCACAAAGACCTTGCCAGGTAAGAGACATTATTGGTTCAGTTTGGCAAATGAGACCAGGACTCGGAGAGCTTAAGTGACTCACCTCTAATTTGGCAGAGGATTTCCATTTCTCCGCACCCTCCACCTCTGGGCAGGCTGCTGCCGCTTGTTGTCTATGTCTGATTTTGGAAGACAGGCTGAGACTGGGACCTCCTGCCCAGTTATTCGAGTTTTCAGTTTCCTTCTTCATCGACATTTCTGAGCCACCTTCAACTCTACCCTCCTCGTCCTCCCCAGCACGCCTGACTCCAGCCATTGGTCCTTTCTCTGAGTGGAATCTCTCTCCCATGTATTGTCACTTCCTGTTTCCAGCTCTGCTCAGCAGAATCCTGTGGAAGTTTGTTTCTTCTTTTTTTATTAAAGTAAAAGACTTTTTTTTTTTTTAACCTTAAGCTTGGTAAACTTTGGCCTCCTGGGTTTTCTGATTCCGGTGAAGCACCCTGATCCCTAACCGTGGCGTTAGGCCCTGGGACATGCCTAAAGAGAGGGCGCTCGCTGTGTGTTTACCACATGAAGCAGTCAGGGTTCAGAAGGTCAGGCTGGTTGCCTTCTAGGGATAGGCAGAGTTGTGGTCATTGTTGACATAGCGCAATTGGAGTTTATTGGTTGCTGTTGCTGTCATGCACTTGGTACCAATAGGGCATGGTAGATGCACCCATCTGCTGGCGGTGGGCATTTGAGTTTGTAACAGACCCTCTGGGCTATTCTAAATAGTGCTGCTCTGGCTCTGCTCTCCCTCTGGTCATCTAAAACTGTTTCGTGCCTAGGGCTGTAATATATAGGAAAGGCCAAAGTTTCCAAAGTTTATACCTTTCCCTGGAAGTTGTTTGTTGAAAGTGAAAGTATGAAATGTGTTCTGCGTTTTCAGGGTAAAATCCACAGACAGACAGAAATTGTTATGTGGTGCTTGCCATTTTGTTGTACTAGTTTTCTAAAAAGCTTTCCTGAGGAAGGGAAGTCCAGGGGTGTGCGCACAGGGCACTGCATCTAGAGCAGTGGTTCTCAGCCTTCCTCATGCCGCGACCCTTGAATATAGTTCCTCATGTGGTGGTGACCTCCAACCAGAAAATTATTTTCTTGCTACTTCGTAACTGTCATTTTGGTACTGTTTTGAATCCTAATGTAAATATCTGATATGCAGGATATATTTTCATTGTTACAAATTTAACAATTAATGCATAGTGATTAATCACAAAAACTATGTAATTATATGTTGTGAAATATTTCTAGTGATAAATGAAATTTTGTCTTGAAGCATGGTGTAGCGTGGGTAACAGTCTTCATGCCGGGTACTTGTATGTGGGCGTATCTGCATGTGGGTGGACCCACCTGGAGACGGATAGAGGAGCAGCAGTGTCTCGGTTCCTAAGACCATCAGAAATACCTGTTTTCCAATGGTTTGTCTTAGGCGGCCCCTGTGAAAGGGTCATTCGATCCCCAAAGGGGTCACGACCCATAGGTTGACAACTGCTGATCTAGTTGTAGAAGGGGTTTTTCCCTTGATGACGTGCTTCCTGGCTGAAAAGTCCTGGCAGGGACACTGCTGTCTATCAACTACCTCTGTCTCCCAGGGGTCCTGACACACAGGTAGGGGGCCTTTTCTACTGGACCTTTCAGTGCTACTTGTGCTTGAGATGGAGTCTGACTTGTGAGCATTGGCATTGTCACTTGGCCCCAGGCCCTGTGGGGGCTGTCAGGTGTACATGTCCTAGGACAATTGTAGTTGGAGACCCATCTAGTGCCGGGATGGTGGCCTTGATTGTCTGTAGTCTACTGCCACCAGTTGTCAGTGTGGAGGTTTCAGCATGATTGCCTTTGTGGAGACGTGAGGAGGTTGTGCTAGGCGCCAGTTCTCTGGAAAAGCAAGACCAGTGAAGCAGGTATATATCTGAGGGAGCTTCGGATAATTTGTGGGAAAACTGAATGAAAAGGTAACAGGGTTTTGCCGCAAACCTGTTTGAGCCTCCCCTCCCCTCTCCCTATGTTTGTGTGTAGAGACAGGGAGATTGAAATAGAGTTTTTTCAAGAAAGTGGCTTGTGCTGTCGGAGTGAATGGCAAGTCCCAGGTCTGTAATGAGGCATCAGGCGGGAGGTGGCAGGTGGCTGCTGGCTCCTGGGCTTTGGGGGCTGTGGGATCACAAGAACTGAAGGTCAGGTGATGACAGGCTGGATCCTGGATCCAGGGCAACACCCAGATGCAGGCTCCTGCACCACTGGTTGTCCTATGACTGCCAAACCACTGAGAGTCATGGCCCAGTAACGTTGGCGCACAACCCTAACCATCATGGTGGGTTTGCGGTTGTGTGTGAGTGACGGAATACACAGGTTTCTGTTGGCTGCATACCCAGGAGTAGAAGGGCTAGATCACAGGACCTGTGACATTCAGCCACAGAGAAAGCCAGAGTGTTTTCTAAATGGTTGTCCAGTGTATACTTTTGTCAGTGTGTATGAGCATTTCAGTCATCAGTACTTGGTTCTGAATTTCTCTCATTTACAGCCATTTCGGCAGGTGCGTGTCTGTAGGGTTCGTTCCATTTTAAAGCAGCAGACACAGCTCAGGCCTTGCCTTCTAATCCTGCTCTCCTCCGGGAAGTGCTGGTCACATGGCTACGGTGGGTTGAGACAGGCTCTTGGGCCATTGCTGGCCTGCCTGGTGAGCCTGCTGGACCCCAGGGAGGTGAATGTTTGGGTCAGAGGGTGGGAGGGCAGGAGTCTGGGCTAAAGCTCTCTTGAGGAAGCTAGTTGGGCTCAGTGGGAATCTTGAGGATTCATGGTCCCTCCTTGCCCTCCAGGGAACAGGCATGGCCTCTTGGTGCCCAACAACACCACCGACCAGGAGCTGCAGCACATTCGCAATTGCCTCCCAGACTCCGTGCAGATCCGACGGGTGGAGGAGCGGCTCTCAGCCTTGGGCAATGTTGCCACCTGCAACGACTATGTGGCCTTAGTTCATCCAGACCTGGACAGGGTGAGGCAGTTTAACTTGTCCGTGAGTCATGGGATTAGCCCAGTGAGCAGTTAGCCACTGCCCTTGCTTATCTGGCAGGGATTATGGGTGTCTCTCCTGGGCACTCAGTATTAAGTGAGAGTTGTATAGGGGAACCTCCCTTGTATGGTCAGTGTCAGAAAGACGCCGTGGGGGTGTTCATCCTCAGAATGGGGGCGCTCATAAGAAGCAACTGATTGCGGCTCAGGCAGTCTGCTGGCTGTCCTGAGCCCCAGAACTGGCCCACATGGCTTCATGAAGCACCTTCTCTTTTTTCTCTCTGGCGAGGCTCCCCTCGGCAGCCACGCAGCAGAGAAACGAGGGGCTCAGGCCACCAAGCCCTGCGTGGTTCTGGGCATGGAAAACCCCTGCTGCTTTGGTTTGCAAGCCCCTGTACTCTGTGTCTTTTGCCAGGAGACAGAAGAGATCCTTGCTGACGTGCTCAAGGTGGAAGTCTTCAGACAGACAGTGGCTGACCAGGTGCTCGTTGGAAGCTACTCCATCTTCAGCAATCAGGGGGGGCTGGTGCATCCCAAGACCTCAATTGAAGACCAGGATGAGCTGTCCTCTCTCCTTCAGGTGCCCCTCGTGGTAAGCACTCCAGCCCTCAGCCCTGCCTTCTGCTGAGGCAGGCCCCTCTGGCTGGGGCTTGATAGCGGGCTACGGTTGGGCTACACATCAAGATACTGGGTCTGGGAAGAGCCCACATCAGGTAGGGGAGAAACTTGGATCATGTACCCATGACCCACATAGAGCCCATCCCTCTGCAGGCGGGCACTGTGAACCGAGGCAGCGATGTCATCGCCGCCGGGATGGTGGCCAACGACTGGTGTGCCTTCTGTGGCTTGGACACAACCAGCACGGAGCTGTCTGTGGTGGAGAGTGTCTTCAAGCTGAATGAAGCCCAGCCCAGCACCATCGCCACCAGCATGCGGGACTCCCTCATCGACAGGTACCAGGGCTTCTCCTCCCTGCTGTGGGCTGGGAAGTGGGTGGTGTTCACCTGGCATAGGAGCTGTGTTCCTGCTGGTGGGCTCTCCTTGTGGGTGAGTGTCCTGCAGTCAGGACCTGGGAGCAAATTGAAGCCTCTGCTCGCTGTCCCTTCTCCAAGCAAACTGAAGGACTTGCTACTTGGTGATGTGGCTCATTTGCTCACACGCCGCAGGGATTCGGAGTTGGTACTTGCCGGTGTGGGGGTTTTGTTGGTTGAGGGAAGGTGGGGAAGTGTCTGTGTTGACCCCCCTGCCTAGGAGAGTTCTCGGACTGGTTGGGGGTGGCTATCACCTCAAATCACAGTTATGGTGTGTGTGTGGTCGGGGCTGGGAGGCAGTTTTGAGGAAAAAGGAAACCTGTTCTTGGACCCCATCTCTGAGATTTTGCGGGGGGGTGGGCTTGAAGTTCTTCTCTTGGGGAGCAGCAGGTGCTGGTAGCTCAGCTGCCCCTTCTCTTACTGCCCATGGCGGATCCGGCTCAAGGCCTGCCACACCCACGGGGCCCCAAGCCCTTCACAGTGATAGGAGCCCAGAGGTGAGGCAAGTCCCCATTGACAGCGCAACTCAAGACTCCCTAGTTCTTTCTCTTCATTTGCCCAGTGAACAAGGCGCCAGGGGGCTACTCAGGCGCCTGGGTGCTAATCCTGTCAGGAGGTGCTCAAAGTGGGTTGGAAGTGTGGTCACACGTACACTTGGCTACCTTGAAAGGAGGAATAGAAAGTGACTTTAGTTTGAAATGGGCTTTCCCAGTGGTTCTGCTGGGGGCAGTTGGCGTTTGTGCCACACTGTTGAGCCACCGGAGGGTTCTGCAAGCGGCTTTGTTGTGTGTTCAGCGCCAGCAGACTCATGGCCATCGAGTCACTTCTGACTCATGCCGACCCTGTAGGGCAGAGTAGAACTGCCCTTGTTGCTGAGACTAAATCTGTACGAGAACCGAGAACCGACAGCCTCATTTTTATTCTGCAGAGTGGCTGGTAGGTTTGAACTGCTAACTTGTAGTTAGTAGCTCAGTGTGTAGTACGCTCTGCCACCAGGGTACCTTGTTGAGCCTCTATTATGTGTCCTACAGCAGTGGTGTGGACTCTTGGGAGAGAGATGGTACTTAAACAATTCGTCGTTTAATTAAAAATCAGAAAACTCGTAGCAATCTGAAAAAGAAATTTCTGTAACTTCAGTACCTGCTCAAAAAACGACAAGTGTTAGCTTGATGGGTGAACCGTTAGAAACAGTGGCACTGAGCTAGAGCAGAAGGCCCGCCTGTCACCATCCATGGCCTGCATGGTGCCGATTATTGGAAGAGACAAAACTCAGGTAGCTTCTGTGGTCACGGACATGCTGAGTTTGAGATGCCCACAAACCCTTGAATAAGATGTTGAGAGGATGATTAAGCCTACTCCTCAGTCTTAGGCTTCTCTCATCCTGAGTAAGAATGCTTCTAATAATTGCTCCTGAGCTGGTCTCTGGGGCAGCCCTTCCTGGTTAGTGGTGTTGAGAGAGAGTCCTGGCCCTGGAGAAGGCCTGCCTCACTTCCATGGGAGGACTTGGGGTCCAGGCACCTGCCACCCTCACTCCAAGCCCCCAGTCCCCTTCTCTGATGTCTAACAGACTTTTACCCTTTGAGCTCTGTCGTATGACTGGTAATAGTTTGAATACCTTGGTGGGAGAGCTGAACCACCTGAGGAGGGAGCAAGTTTCTTTTGTAAATGTGGGGAGGTTGATCTAGCCTGGAAAGGTGATGCTCGGATACATTCAGCTGTGGAGCCCCAAGCGGGGTTCTGAAGGACTGAGCTGGAATAAAGATCCTGGGTGAGGGTGGAGGCACACATCGGGGAGTGGAGGGTGGGGTGGGTGTGCTCTGGGAAGCAGCTCTGACAATGTTCTTTTTTCTCTCTCCAGCCTCGCCTGAGTCACCTGCATGTGCTCCATGGGCTGTACCTGGTGCTCGTAGGACATCGGCAGAGCTGACAGGCAGAGGGCCCTGTGCTCAGCCTGCCTTCCCCTGTGCCCATCTCCTGATGTAGCATCACTATAAACGCCTGTCATTCAGTGTTGGCTGTTGGGCCCTGTGGCTCCTGGCCGAGGGCTCTGCAGTTTTGTGTCACCCTATTAAAGGGCAGCAGCCCCTGGCCATTCTAAACATGTGCTGTTTGCTCGCCTCAGACTGAACACCCCTTACACACACCTCACCCCTTACACACGCCACACTTCTACCGTTCTCTCCCCCTCCCACCCAGCTCTTGGGCAAGGAGGTGCCCCATCTTCCCCTCTAGAGGAAAATGTACTTCTCACTTTCCCATCAACTCCAGGGGGTCTGAATAGGCCTCAAGCGGGGCCGCCAGCCCCCTCCGAGATGGGGGCTCCTGGCTGCAAGGCAGTCTTGGTCTCTTTGACCTAAGGCGATGTAGGTGCCTTGGACACTGCAGACCGCATCAGGTTGATACAGAACTACATGGACGACCTATAGGCTTCAGGAGCCCTGGTGGCATAATGAGTTATTAGTTGGTTTGCTAACTGCAAGGTTAGCAGTTTGAAACCACCAGCTCTCCACAAGAGAGAGATGAGGCTTGCTATTCTTGTAAAGTGTTACTGTCTCAGAACTCCACCTGGGGCATTTCTACCCTGCTCTCTAGGGTCACGAGTTGGAATCCACTCAGTGGCGGTGAGTTTTCCATAGGGCTTCAGAGGTTAAATCTCATAAATGCCCCTTCTCCATAGGGCACTGGTGGCTTGTTTCCCTAAGTGGTGGTACTCCCACCCCAAGGGGGTGCTGGAAAGATTGGTAGCGGAGTTGCAAGAGCAGGTGCATCATTCATGGTAAAGTAGAGGGGCAGCGGAAAAAGAGGAAGGCCCACGATGGTTGACACTGGCTGCAATAGTGGGCTCAAACTGGCACAGCACTGGGCAGGGCTTCCTACTGTTAGACAGACATTGGGTCACTGAGTCAGAACTGACTGGCACCTAGCAACCCTTCATCCTGGATTAGGGCTTAGGATACAAAAGGGTTGGTTTTGTTTTTTACTTGCTAGGGGGTGTTGACATTTTTTCTTTCCCACCCCCTGAAAGTGGGGGTGGGCGGGCCAAATGCCGGCGTCCTGGTGGCTAGTGAGCGGTTACTGGGGCTGTGACTGGAGGAGGCGGCTTTCTGCTCGGGAGAGTTCTTCCCGGTAGGGTCGCCATCGGGGGCACTGACTCCGTGGCAGTCAGGGCAAATGAGTCAGGAGCCTGCCCAGTGCCTAATTCACACCACCACCGGGGACCTTTGGGCGGCTATCGCTCACTGCCATCGAGCCGATTCTGACCTGGCGACCTTGCGGGACAGTAGAACAGCCTCTGGGTTCCGGAGACTACAACTACGCCGGTGTAGAGAGCCCCCTCCATTTGAAGCCAGGAGTGAATTTGGGTGGCTGGGTGTGGGCGGGACCTGGCAAGATTGGTTAGTTGGTGGTGGGTGGGGCTCTGGTCGACTCCGCCCCTCGAGTCCGTGACCCTCGCTTCCGCCCCGAGGGGCGGGACGTGGTGACGTCACTACCCCGACTGCTTCCTGCGACCCGCCCTCCGCTGACGCTCAGATCGTGCGGTGAAGGGCTGGCCAGGGGCTGGCGTGAGGGTCCTCTGAGCTGGGACCTCGAGAACGCCTCTTGCAGACCATGGGCGGCGGCCAGAGCACCCCGGAGGCGCCGCAGCCGCAGCCCGCCGCCCCGGAGAACCCCGAGCGGCCCCCACCCGAGCCTCACCCTTGGGTGCGGCTGGAGGGCCCGTGGGGGCCGCTGGATGACGTGCGCTTCCTCATCACCTGCACGCCCTGGTATTGATTCAACCGCCTACCAGCCTGTCCTCATCGCCCTCCGCCCGGCCAGACCCCGTCTTCTCGCCCTGGCGCCCTTTAGACATGGACCGAGAACTTAAAGAGGCCACGGGGAAGAAAGTCGAGGCAGGGCCCCCACCTCCGCTTTCTAGAAGCCTCTCCTCCGGCCACCTCCAACCATTCTGAGCCTGGGGCTGCCCAGTTTTCAGGTCACAGCTGTTGTTCCCTTGCCCGTGACAGTACAGAATCCTCTACTCCCTGCCACCGGTTTCCAGAACCAGCCAAGGCCCCTGGTAAGACCCCAAGGCTGCAGACCTGCGGACCCCCTCCATCTCTTGCACAGAACTGGGCTCTCTGGCCTGCCTCACTTCAAGGCATCCTTCCAGCCCCTGCCGTGGAGGGCTTGCTGCTTCCCACCCTGGAGCCCCATGAAGCTGTATCCCTGACCCCACTGACGTCTACCCCTCGGGGGACACCCGATGGCTGCTCCGTGGCATGGAGACAGATGTTTAGGCCGCTCCTGGACAACCGAATCACCCTGCTTCCCCTGCTCCCGAAGCTTCTTTTGGCCACCACTCTGAGCCAGCTTCTTGTCCCCAGGCCCCAGGGAAGTCATACACCCGTGTTTTTGTTTTATTTAGAAATGATTTAAAAAACATTATACAAAGGCTGATCAGTTTAAAATGTGACCGACGCTGAAATGTTGTGATGTCCCCAGGCTGCGGGGAAGCTGGGTTCTGGAGCCCCCAGTGCTTTGCCCTGCTGTCTGTCTGTCACCCCTCGCCCGTGCTGAGGTGGGGGCACAAACAGATGGTCACAATGCAGGAGAGCCCGAGATTGAAGCCCGCCCTCACCAGGCCTGGCCCCACATCCCTCACATCTGCAGCCCGGGCTGCCTGCCTCCATCTCCTGCTCACTCTCAGCTGGCCTGGAAAGGTCCAGGAGCCTGCGGGGCCTAGAGCTGTCAATTGAGAGCACCAACCTTAGGGGTGGAGAGGGGCCGGTGGAGCAAAAAGGGTGACCTGGAGGTGACGGAGGGACATTCTGCTGCCTTGGACCCTGGAGGGCTCCATAGGTGGGGACACAGGCCCAGACAGCCCACTGGGTGGCCTGGGCGAGGAACAGAACCGATCTGTGCTTCATCTAAGGGAAGGGCATGATGAGAGTCACCCTGAGCCTCCCAAGGCCTGTGTGAGTTTCATGTGAATGGACAGATGTGAGCTAATAAAGTGCTTTGCAAAGTATAAAACACTGTACAAACCTATGAATCACTAATATCTCTGCAGTCATTCCCCGCCCCTGCCCTAGGGAGCCTGCCCTTGGCCAAAATGAGAACAAACATGGATGATGATGTTGATGATGATGATGATGGGACAATAACCCACATTGGCTCCTGTGGACAAGAGAGATTTTGCTTGAGGCAGCTCAAGTGAGTACCTTTTCAGGGTGAATTGAAGCATTTCCTACCAGCCAGGAGACAGCAAATGTTGTCGCTCAAACTCTCCTGGAATCTATAATCCCTAGGTTTGGCCTTCCACACGCTATCCTGTCTGACATTGGCCCAGCCTTCATTTCGCAGGTGTCCCAACAGGTCTCAGCCGCCCTGGGAGTGGATTGGAAGCTACATATTCCTTATCACCCCCAGTCGTCAGGCAAGGTTAGGCGTGCCAACGGACTTATAAAGTCCCAGTTAACTAAACTCTCCTTAGAGGTCCGCCTCTCTTGGCCAGATCCCCTACCTGTAGCCTTAACCCGCCTCCGGGCTTCCCCCAGGGAACCCACAGGTCTCTGCCCATTTAAAATTCTATACCGCTGTCCATTTGTCCTAAATTATTCTCTGCCTCAGAAAGAAACTCCGCTTTCAGCTTGCTTACTCTATCTTTGCTCCGCAATTTACTCAGGTCCTACGCAGACCAACACCTTCCAGTTGTGGAAGACACCTCTTCTGGGTACCCAACCCTTAACCTCTCCCCAGGAAACCAGGTCTTAGTGAAAACTCCTCCTGCGCCTAGCCCTGGACTCCAGCCATGGTGAAAAGGCCCATACACCGTAATACCATCCCATTGGCAGTCAAACTGGTGTTGGCTTCCGTAAATACGGAAATGCAGTCACCCAGCCACTGATGGCAGTTCATAGTTACCAAAACCTGGGCTGATAATTCAGGAACCCATTCGCAGGTTATATATCTATCGTGCTTACGTACACACTGGCTGGTTGATCAAACCCGGCTAATCCAGAAAGTCCAACAAGAACTTCAAGAACAGGTTATAGGACAGAGGTCCAAGGAAAAACCTTTTTCTTGGTTCACTGTTATCCAAGAAGGGGTAGCCCTTCTTAACAATTCCAACCTGGTTAATCTTTCCTCTTGTTTCCTTTGTGCTGCCCTCCATAGGTCTCCTCTGGCAGCAGTACCTTAACCTCAACCATTTAACTACTCAGGAAAAACGGACACCTTTCCACCAGTAATTGAAGTTTCCCTGTTCCACAGTCCACTGCTAAAAAATGGCCTTTTTGCTATTCCGACCCGGGACAAGGTTGTAACAACACCGCAAGTAACCTCACTTTCCCCCTCAATGCCCCCCCCCCCCCCAGGCAGATTCTTTTGGTGCAATGGCACCCTGACAAAAAAACCTTTCCACTCCTTCCCCACCCTATCTATGTATGCCGGACACCCTGGTTTCCCAACTAACTATGTACACAGTCCCTGAGGTAAATGCTCTGCAAAATCCCTCCCATGGCACCACCAGACATACACGGGCAGTGTTCCTTCCTGTCATGGTTGGTTTAGCGGTAGCCTCTTCCTTGGTTGGCTCAGGAATGGGGGCAGAACCCCTATCCCAGTCTCTGAGCTCTTCACAAAGCTGGTCCTCCAAACTGCAAGCGGCAATTAAAAACACTGCATTATCTTTAAATCTTTTACAGCACCAAATAACATCTCCAGCCCAAGTAGCCTTACAAAACAGAAAAGCCCTAGACATCTTAATGGCCGATAAAGGGGGGACGTGTATATGCCTGAATGAGGAGTGTTGCTATTATGTTAATGAATCCAGGTTAGTGGAAACCAGTATAAACAAATGTCACAAGTTGGGGGGAAAAAGCTATCTGGTCAGACTCCTGGCGTCCAACAAGGAGGTTGGTGGTCTAATCCATCCATCCGTTGGGTTGCTCCCTTAATAACCCCTCTTAAAACCATCTGCGCTCTGCTACTTCTGGGGCCCTGTTTGCTGAACTTTCCACAACCGAATGCAAAAAATTTCTCATATTGCCGTTAATCAAATGTTATTGCACCCTTACCGTCCTCTCCCACAGGAGCCAGACATTCCCAACCCGTAAGCCCTTCCCACGCCTTGCCAGTACCCGCAGGAAGTAGCCAGAAAAGTAGTCACCCCTATCACCAAAGAGTTGGGAATGTATGGCCAGATCAATACCAGGCCAGCTTCTAGCAGCAAGTGACCTTGAATCTCCCCCACCCGTGCGGAGCTGACCAGAGCTGGCTGAAACAACTAGGAGCAAGTGGCCTTGAATCTCCCACACACACCCGCGGAGCTGACCAGAGCTGGCTATGTAAAGCAGCTTTGCAAGGTTTTTTTTTTCTTTTACTCATGGCCCGTTTTGTTCACGACCCGTTTGGCTCAGTGCCTGCTTTGTTCTTGGCTCGCTGCTCTGCACCTGGCAGGAATACACCCGGAACCAGGAAGACACCTTATATTCCAGAAACCCGGACATACCTGTATCTCTCAATCCCTGACTACTTTACCTTATATGGACTCAAGGCAGCCCAGTCACATGTTCCCCGGCCATATAAACACCACTCCTGTAGTCTGGAGTGCGAATCCCTCGGCCGGACGCTGTTGACTGTGGGACTTCGCCCAGGCTGGGTTTTTCTCCCCAATAAAGCCTGTTTGCTCTAATTCGACTGATTTGGTCTCTCAACTACCTTACACTGACCACCTAGCGGAGGGCCGGTGGCCATAGGAGCCTCATCTCTGCTTCACCGAAACCCTTGAACTGCCTTTGCAAAATGGGTCTTCCACAGGAGTGAGAGGACATTTCAATATTCACCACGTGACTGCTGGGTCCTTGTTAGGCCCAGCTGGGCCACAGCCCTGCCTGCAGCATGTGACCCAAAATCAGGGTCTCCGCAGAGAGGCCAGACTGTGGAGCAGGTCTCCTGAGGGGTCTGCTGTGTCAGCAGGAAAACCTAGGCTCACTGCCCACCATGTTGGAGCACTGGAGGACAGTGGGGCTTGTGGGGAGGGGGACATCTGACCAGCAGGTGTTGGCAAAAGGGGGCTGGGACTGGTAGTATCTCGCAGCTGGAGGCAAGAGCAAGGGCTAGCGTCCCATGGAGGGTGCTGAACCCATGCCAGGAATGGGGCTCTGGTGCCTCCTGGGCAGGCTGAGATGTGGTGACCATAGAGGCACCCCCTGGCAGGGTTCCTCCTGAGGGGGCTGGGGCTCTTCCCTTGAATAGGGAGTAGTGTACCCAGGATAGAAGGCTGGCAGCTGGGTGCCAGACACCCACCCTGGCAACAGCACCCGATCGCTCCCTGCCAGGCCCTCAGCCTAGGCCAATGCACCCACCACTTCAGCTTCAAGGCCCCTGGCCTAGGGCCCTGATGGCCCCGGGTGGGCAGCGGCTGGAGCTGCCCCTCAGGCCCTGGTGAGGAGGGGCCAGCCTGGCCAGAGCGAGTGGACACAGGGCGTGGGGCTGCTCACACCCACTCTTGGACCGGCCGCTTGTAGTAGGTGACAGGCTGCGGGCCCGCCTTGTTCTTGAACTGGAAGATGGTGTAGACCAGCACCAGGATGCAAAGGGACAGGATGCAGGGGATGACCACGGCCACGGCATTCACGGAACCGGGCACGTCGTTGATGGTCACCATGATGTCCACGTCGTCCTGGGGCAGCCGCCGCTCCTTACGCCGCTCCACCTCCTTCTGGTTGCAGCCCATCCAGTCTCGCAGGATGCTGCGCGGGTAGCCCGGCTCCACCCGCAGTTTCTGGTTGTCGAACTTCCAGTAGTCCCGGCCCTTATAGAAGTAGGTGTAATCTGCAGAGACAGAGCCCAGGGTCAGGGCTCCCACCAGTGCCCAGCACCTCCCTGGGCCTGGGCCAGAGGCCCCAGTCACTGGGTCACCCAAGAGGATGCCCTGGAAACTGTGTGGCCGGAGTGGGGACCGTGACCTGCAGCGGAGGGGGGCACCCAGGGCCTGAATGCCCACCCCGGATTCTCAACACTTCTTGGACACCCTCCAACCCCACCCTGCCCAAGGCCCTTAAGCAGAATTGGGACATTGTTCAATTTATCCCAGAAAAGACCTCCACCTGCGGCAGGCCTCAGTCACAGCCCTGCCATACCGTGTCCGTGGGCCTCCACACACCAGGTGGCTTGGCTAGCACATGGCTAAGCTCTGGGGCCCAAGGCCAGCTGCAGTTGGAACCAAGGGTTCAGGGAGCAAAGTATTCCCCTGCCTTGACAATGGGCCCACCACCCACCTCTCTGCAAGGATCACGGGAATGTTGGATGTGCACCTATCAGGGCACATGCAGGGTGTCTGGGGCCCTGCTGGGGGCCTTTGCTTGCTCAGACTCCTCATTGGTCAACTCTTCACCCTGGCTGGGGCGTTCATTGGTCATGGGCCTTGATGTCACCTGTCTCCGAGGCTCCTCTCAAACGTTTGTAAAGGGCAGCAGGTCCGCAGGAGAGCCTTTGGATTTGCTATCAGCAGCCCCTGGAAACCCCTTCCTGGCCACCCCTCCCCAACAAGCCTCCCTCTGCCAGCTGCCTCTCTTTCCCTTAGAGCATTTGTGGCCACCACGTTGGGGTTTTGCCACTGGACGGGGAGCCAGGGACTGTTATGCAAATCTTGTCCACTACGCAGTCCCCAGCCCCGAGCACAAAACATGGGCTCTGCATTGTGAGTGGATGGAGGGAGGAACCCTCACGTTGCATATGAAAAACACCGACCAGGGAGGCTGACACTCGCAGGTGAGGACCGTGTGCTCGGTGCTGTGTATCCGATCATGTCTCTGATGTAATCCTCCCCAGAGCCCTCTGAGGTAGATACCATCATCACCCCAATTTTGTAGATGAGAACACTGGGGAAACCTGTGTCATCTGTCTCAATGGGGGGGTCTTAAAAGCTGGGGAAGGGGCATCTAAGCTGTCTGGAGGAGGTCAGCATGAAGAGCGTCAGAGATGCATGGGCACAGTCGGAGCAAGGGGCGAATGGACCCCATGACCCCACCCCCATGTCCCTGAGGGGAGAAGAGCTAGACAGTGCCCAGCTGCCATCACCAACTGCGCTGGAAGGGACCGCATTCGAAGGTCCTGGATGGAGTGGAAAGGAACTCAAAAGTCATCAAAGAGACCAGGCTTACTGGTCGGACAGAGGTTGAAGGTCCCCCCCACCCCACCCGGCGACTATGGCCCGAAGCCCCCCCTTCAAGCCTTGATCTGAACTCCACCCCAGTGGCTCATTTTGAGCCAAACACAGGACAGGTCTCTCTGGGGAACAATAATGAGGAACAATAATACGCAGCCATCTGAGATCAAAAGGGCAGCATTTAGCCAAGGGCACCATTCTAAAGGCTGAAGAAAGAAGCAGGCAGGAAGGAAATAGGAAAGAGGAAGGAAGCGGGTTAAGTGAGGCTACTCCGTAGGGATTGCAGTCACCAGTAGGAAACAAATGTGCTATGGATGGTCCAGCGGAGAGCTGACTTGCTCTGAACCCAACTCACAGTGAAAGTTAAAAAAGAATCTGTCATAGTCGTAGTCAGTGAGAGAGGCAGGCGCCCAGACGGTCTGTGTTTCGATGGAAGCCCACTCTGCATTCAGCAAGACCCAGCCTCCCCTCCTGAGAAACCTCGGCTGGCAGGAAAATGGCAGGTGGGCATCTGATGGCCTGCCTGCCTGAAGCACGCAGGAAAAGGGTCATCAGGGAAAGAGGTGTCTCCCTTCGTTTTCTTGCCCCCAAACACCTGTGAGCCACTCAGAGTATCCCTGCTTTTTCCAAATTGGTAACTTGAACACCTGGAGTAGGACCCGCGCCCCGCTGTGTCTGAAGAAATGAAGTCGGTCTCTGAAAGGCAGCCTCCGTCGTGAACCATCCCCGCCGATGGTGACTCTGTGGCTGGTCAGAGAGGGCAGCCGGGAGGCCCTTGTCTTTCCTCCCGGTGGGGGGCGTTTCCGCAAACTAGGGGCCCTGGGAGCATGTCTGCATATCTGCCCGAGGCTGAGACCCTGATGTGGAAGGGTCCTGGGGAAGGACTCGGCTTCACGACTGGACTGTCGAGTTGTATGGTGTGTGGATGAGGTGCCCATACGCGTGCAAAAGATAAAAGAAGACTTTGTTTTACACACAACCAGTGTAAAACCAGAGCCGTTGGCGTCACTGGGTGCCTGGGTCTGAGACTTCCGGCTGGCCAGATCAGAAAAGACTCATCTGGGGGGGCTGGGGGCAACATGCCTGATGAGGCAAGAGCTAGTCCAGGGGTCGGCAAACTGCTGAGCTGACATTCCTGTCCCTTGTGGCAATTTAAAAAATGATTTGAGAGCCATGAATATATAGATTACAAAGAAATGAAATCACCATTCGCTGAATAATAATCTTGGACATTTTTTCCCCAAGTTCACGTCAGAGCCACATGTATGTACCCCCAGAGCCACATATGGCCCGAGAGCCACAGCTTGCCAACTGCTGTCTTGCCTACCCTGCAGGCCTGGCTGACGAAGGCCTGGCATGCCCAGCCCTTGTCCTACCTGTCTTGGTGTTGTAAGAAATCTGTAGCCACGGGTGGGGGCGTGGCGTCAAGGGGTTGTCCCTCAGTCCATAATCTCTATGGACCCGATGGCCAGGGCTTTCCTATGGGGAGCCGCTGGGAAGGTTTGGGTCACCAACCTCTCGTCTACCTGTCAGGTGTGAACTGCAGGAGGGCTGCCTGACCCCAGGGGAGAGGAGGAACCAGCAAGTCAGAGAATCAGGGTGACGTGTGGGCCCCCACACCTGCTGTCTGTTTATTCGGTGGTCTGAGGGGTGGTTTCTGTTTAACTCGGGAGATCTGGTCCAGCTCTGGCTGGGTACAGGGGGGCTGAGGATGGGGTCAGGCTCCACATTGGAGGGGTGGACGCATGAGGGGCCTTGGGGGGCAGGGCACGTGGAGTCCCCAACCGCCCCATTCCCAATGGGTCTACGTACATCCTTCTTTGCTGATGAAGGCCCCCTGGGGCGCCTGCGGGATGCCTTTCCACACGGTGATGGGCTTGGGGTAGCCGGGGTCTGTGGCCCGCCGCTCCTCGCTGTAGCGCCAGTACCGCTCGCCTTTGAAGAAGTAGGTCTTGCCCATAGGCTCCCAGCGCAGAGCGGTGTCGATGCCTTCCCGGGGCAGGCAGCTGCCCAGCTCCCCCAGGCTGTGGGGGTACCCGGGCTCCACCGTCACCTCCTTAAACACCCAGTACTTGTCACCTGTGGTCAGGAGGGCCCCACAATCAGCCTTCCCCAGTCACTCAGTGCAGGCAGGCTTGTGCGGCCAGTGGCCCTCTCCCATATTCCGCTGGGCTGCAGCAGTGGACAGCGGTCAGGTGTCTGAGGCCTGCTTGCTCTCTGGGAGATGGAGGTCCCCAATGCTGGCAGAGCATGTAGGACAATTCGGCCATGGCTCTGCCCCTTCGTCCCCCTCTCAGTAGTCAGCCTCGCACCAGGTCCCTTCTCTAGCCCCGCCACGCCTTCCACGCGTGGCCTCAGTCCCAGCCACCCGCTTAGAAACGCCTCCCTCCCTCTGTTCTTCCGAGCTACCACTGGCCCTCCAGCTGGCTTGAAGCCCTCCAGCTAGAGTAGAGTCTCCACCATGGCCCAACGGATGGAGACCACCCCTGGGCTGGCAGCCCTATGGGGCACACTGCCTTCGAGGCCGCTCTGCATAGCTCTCCAGCATGGGGCCTCACGGCTGCCAGGGGGCCCTTTGAAAGGACACCCCCCACCTCCCTTTCCCACACGGCTCCTCTTTCCCCACGTCTCACCCTCTGTGTCTGGTGCACCCTGGGGATAGTCAGAGGGAGTTCATCAAGGGAAGACCACAGAGCAAGAGGTCGACTCAGTGTACGTGACTGACCTTCCGTTCCTCCTCTGCCTCCCCTGGCCGAGCCAGCCTGTGACCTCTGCCCTCAGCGCTCTTACAGAGTGGATGGGGGAGGAGGGGGCTCGGACAGCCTGCCCCACCTTCTACTTCACCTGCACAGGCCCGGCACGTACCTGGCTAGACACTTCCCCCCACCGAGCCCTTCCTGCCCTGTGCCCTTCCTGGCTTGCTTGCCAGCCTGCAGGACCTCACCAGTCTCTGTGGGGCAGAGGGTCTTTGCAGTGAGGGCCTTTGCCTTCTGTCCAGCTCCCCCAGTTTGCAGGCGGCCAGGGTGGTCTCACGGCACAGGCCGCCACCATCCTTACCTTTGAAGAAGACAAATCTGCCATCAGCCCTCTCGTAGGCTGCGTCTATGCGGGCGGGCAGTCCCTTCCAGAACTGCTCGATCTGCATGGGGTAGCCCTCCTGTACCCGGTTGTTGCGCAGGCGCCAGAACCAGCGATCCTGGGGAGAGAAGGGCATGGCAGGTTCTGTCTCTGAGCCAGCCACCCCACAGTCCCACTGCTGCAGGCCCAGCTCCCTGGAATCTACTGCTTCCTTTCAAGGCCCTGTAAGGGAGACAGGGCCATGTATTCACCTCTGGGGGGAGCTTGCTGCCCACAGGGCCAGCTCTGATGCCCTCGCTGGTCAGACACTCGCACACGCCAGGCCCTGTACAACCTGGCTCCAGACTAGCGCCCAGCCTTGCCTCCCTTCCCATGCCTCCAACATGAGCTAGGCAGGGCTCTGCCCCTGCCTCCATACAAGTAGCCTCTGGGCCTGGCTCCCCTCCAGCCCCTGCTGACACGGCTTCACCTTCCTGATCCTCCAGGAAGTCAGTCTTCCTCTACCTCCGGTACTAGGTATATCCATCACCGTTCTTGCAATGCTGAATCCCAGGGCCAGCTCCCCTCCGTGGCTGGGAGTTGCCTGAAGGCAGGGAAGATGGGATTTTGGGTCATTTTGGAAGCTCAGGCTGAGGATCAAGAAGTTTTTGTCACAGGACGGAAAAGGGCAGGAGAAAGACACTCCCATTGGATGGGTGACAACGGAGGGGTAAATGATCTCCTCAGGGCAGGGCAGCGGGTTGGGAGCAGAGGCAGGGATTTTCTGCTCCCATTCCCACCCCTGCTGGGGGGATAGGACATACAGGGGGTGGGGGTGGTCACAGAGGGACAGGAGAAACCCAGAGCAGACAGGCCCAGCTAGGGAGGGGAGGTGTGGAGGCTGCAGGGAAGAGGTAGGGCCCGGAGTGGTCACACGGGGGCAGCAGAGAGCCGCTGACATGGGCAGGGCGGGGCTGGTCCTTAGGCTGGTAGCTGATCCTGGACCCACTGCCCTTCACAGGGTCGGGTCCAGCCCTTCAAGGCATAGATGGCAGAAAGCAAGCCACTTCCCGCCTGACCCACATCAGGGTGAGTCCAGGCTCCTCCGTGTACAGTGCTCGGCCTGGGACAAAGTGCTTCACCTCACTCCCTGGCATCCAGTCGATCCGGACTCACAGCCACCTATAGGACAGGGTACGCCTGCCCCTGTGAGTTTCCGAGACCGTCCCTGTTTGCGGGAGTAGAAAGCCTCGTCTTCCTCAGGCGGAGTGGATGGTGGTTTTGCACTGCCAAGCTTGCGGATCTCAGCCCAGTTCGTACTCACTGTGGCACCAGGGCTCCCGTGATCTACATGCAGGAGTAATACTGGCGGCTGAGAAGCAGAATGGGCCGCCTACCTAGAACAGCACTGGGCACCCCGTGAAGCTGAGTTAAGTGGAACTAGATAGGCTGAGCTTGTCCAACCCAGGGCTTATGCAAACTGTCATCCTTCCCTGGTACGCCACCTGGCAAGTCCTCTAACACCCCCCACCCCCCAGCCCCTTTGCTTTCTTAGATGTCAGTGGGGTGATGAAAGCCACCCATGGCCATCAAGTGAGTGACTCCTTTCACCTAGGCAGGGCAGAGGAGAACTGCTCACTAGGGTTTCCAAGCCAGACTCATCTTCCTCTGGTGGGTTTCAACCGCTGGCCTCACAGGTAGCCAGCCCCCTGCAGTAGCAAGACTCCTTGAGGCAACCCAGATGTGCGCTAAGGCAGCGGGGAGGATCACAGGGAACCAAGCGCAGAACAAAGGAGGAGAGCTGCACAGGATGGTCCAAAAGTTGGAACAGATTTCTGAACGGTGCTCTATCAAGCACATCCACGTTCCGTGTTTTAGATCTTTAGTTTGACTTGCTCACCTCTGCAGCAGTCACGAGAAAGGCCAAGGACCTGTCTCGAGCCGCTCTGTGAGAGGCAGGCCCGCGGTTGACCCTCATCCCCTGGCTCTTGCTCAGTGTTCAGAGCTTGCTGGGGAGACCTCCTCGTGGGCTGGACCTCCGCATGCCGGTCACCCAGTGGGAAGGAGACAAGGTGTGCTGCCCAGAGCCGCCTTTGGTGACTGGGAGTGAGGTCAAAGGGTACTTTTCCTTCCAAGTGTCAGCCCCTTCAAGGGTGGCCTCACTTCACAGAGCACCCCCAACAAGGGCTGAATGAGGCAGGGCCATTCTGGCTGCGGAGCTCCCCGTGGGGTTGACTGTGTCTGCGGGGGGCCTGCCTACTGCCTGACTGTCCCCTCTCCCCAGTCTTGCTTCCTCCCACCCGCTTCCCCTCCTGTGGTTTCCAAAGGGACTGCTTAATAAGGCTCCGATCACTGTCTTCAAGTCTGTTTCCAGGGGAGCTCCACCTGCAACAGGCTGCCAAGCAGGCTGCCACCCCACCAACCCATGGCTGAAGTGACGGGAACAGGACCTGGCCAGCTTCCTTCCAGGCCCCCAGCCTCTCCGCCCCTGCCCCTGGCAAGATCTGGACTAAATCAGCCCCCACTGGTCCAGCTCTTACCCCCAGCCTGCCATCTTCACAGCTCAGTAACCTCCCTTTGTAAACAGAGGACTGACACCCCCTCACTCCCAGCCACCCCCTTGCTCTCAGCGGGGAAAGCTAAGGTCTAGTCACAGGCCAGAAGCTGGCCTCCAGCACTTGACCCCAGCATTAACCCCTGGGAAGGCCCAGGACCACTAATTCTCTCCCCTTCCTTGATTCACCCAGGCCCATGTCCTGCTCCCCGGCCAGCTCCCCTCCAGGTCCCAGAGCAGGCCGAACTAACTCAGGAGCAGCCCCTTCTCTGGCTCCCTACCTTAAACACAAACATCTCGCCCCGGAAGAGGGCCACGGTGTTGAAGTTGCCATCGCAGATGTTGGGCTTTGCTCCCGGAGTGGCTGGCCGGTCCCCGAGGGGTGGCCGAGGGGGCCTGGGCTGGCGCTCATGCTTCCTCTCCGGTGAGTGGATCCTGCGCACGGGGAGTGTGGGGAGGGGCCTGGTGGGCTCCAGAGGCTCTGCTGGGGGTCCTGCGGAGAGGGGACTCATCTGAGAGAAGGGGTGAGCTGTTCCCTGCCTTCCCCTGCCATGCCTCATCCTCATCCTGACCAGGGAGCTGAGAGGGGTCTGTCACCTCTCCCATCCCCACCCCAGCCTCTAGCCTTGGGACCAAAGAAGCCACTGGGTGAGAATCTAGTGTCTTTCCTTTCTCTGTCCCACGAGGAGAGGTCTCTCCCCAAGCCTGGGATTCCATGCCCCCGCCTCATCCCCTCCTCTCAGCACAGTCACCCTCCCTCTCCCTGCCCCTAGATCAGCACCCAGAGCTGCTCCCATTTTGGACCAGTCACAGCTCCCGGCACCTCTGCAGGCGGTGGGGTGGGGGTTATTTCTCTGCTTTCCTTCCCACTGCTGGCCCTACTTCCTCCCTCCTTCCCACCCTCCTGTTTTTCAAATCGTGCATCTAGACAGCCTCTGCCCCATCACACCCCCAAACTGCTCGTTTCCGGATCCCCAGTGACCTCCATGTAGCCAGAGTCAAGGTGACTCCACTCCAGTCTCTGGGGCAGCACCGTTCCGACTTTGATGTGCAGACCCAGCGCCGAGATTCGGACTTGGAGGGTTTGGGGCGACCTTGAGAGGCTGCGACTCTCCCGGCGCTCAGGTGCGGCTGAGCTTGTTGGTCAGAGGCCCACACCTGGAGGTGCAAAGGCCAAGAATTCTCTCCTTGAAAGCCCTGGCTTCGCTTCGCTTGTCCTCAGGTCAGTGGTTCGAAACCGTGGCCGCACATTCAGGTGACCTGGGAGCTTTTAAGAAAGCTCATGCTCAGGAGGTGCCCCAAATCAAAGGCCACCGGTTCTCTGAGAGGCGCAGGGTCCCGCGGACCCGTATTTTTGACTGGCATCTCAAGGTGATTCTGCTAGGTAGCAGGATAGGGGTAGGGGGTGTCCCTCTCTCTGCCTCCCGCCCCCCACCCCTTTACAGGAGGAAGGAAGGGAACCAGGCGAAGCTCAGGCAGCCTTAAAGGCTAAGGGGCGGTACACCTGGGTGGCTCAAACTAGGCCAGGTGAGCTTAATTCAGCCAATGGGATCAACCAACGCCTTCGACCACGCCTCCCAGCCAAAGGCCTCAAATATCGGTCCGCCAGGCCACCCTCCCTGTGTTCATCCTCCTCGCCCTTCTGCTTTGCCGTGCCGCAGTCTCTGGCTACCGCGTGTGGGTGCTTAGTCCCACGAGTTTGCCCGTGTTCAGTGACTGTAAACCCAGAAACTTCTACCGTCCTTGGTAAAAACCCATTTGGATCACAAACCAGGCTTCGCGTGAATTCTTGGTCGTGCGAAGCCAAGAGCTGAGCCATTTCCCACCAGAGAAACGATTCCACTGGGAAGCCAAGAGTGGGAATTGTGGCCCTCGGTGATGCTACCCAGGTTTGAGGCTTTGCAGACGTGTGGCAGCGCGTCTGGTCTGCACTGGCCGATGGGGAAGGGTGAGCTGAAGGTGGCTACGGAGCACTTGAAATGTCCGACCGACTGAGGAACGGAGACTTGCATTTCAATAATACAAGTGAAATTTTCATAGCCTCGGGATGATGCTTGCTGTGTTGAACCATGAAGATCCCAACCGGGATCTCGGCGGGAGAGACTGGTAAATTCTTTTCCCCCACAGTTACACAAGCCGGAGGTCATCCTCGACCCTCCTCCGCACCTCCTCACCTCCATGGGTAGCAGCCAATCCTGTCCATCCAAGCCAGAGCCTCACCTAGTCTTCTGCTCGAGAGATGCTCCCCATCTTCCAGGGCCCTGAGTGGGCCCCCAGGGAGCCCGCCTCCTCTGCTCCATTGGCTGGGCACCTTGCTTTTCCCCAGTGAGGTGAACTGGTCTTTCCATCTCAATGGATTCCCTTGCCAAGAATGTCCGTATGCTGGCATGAGCCGGGAATGGGGAGCAAGAGGCCTGGTAGGAGGCCCTTTGCATCCTAACCAGTGATCAGTCTTACTTCTCTGCTTCTTCTTTTTCAGGAAGCAAGCCTGGGCGAGTCTACTCACACAGCATCTCATCACTGCTCGGCCAGATGTGTGTCTTTCTCCGCCAGAGGAGGGGCTCTTTGGATGGGGCTTGGTCCCCAGGTGAATGACCCGCACGAGGTGAGTGGCAGGTGTGCGCAAGGGGACGCGGGCAGGAAATCATTGTGCCCCTCCCTGTGGACGCTTAGACCCTTCCCTAATTGCCCCCAATGCATGTGGCCCTGTCCGGCCAAAGACATGAGAAGGCTCGACGTGTCTGCGACCAGTCAGCGATGGGGCCAAGACCTGCCCCAAACCCCCCGACTCCCAGGGGAGGAAAGTGGGTACAGAAAGCCCAGGCCCAGGCCCAAGGCCAGACACCAAGTACAAAGAGCCACCGCCCCCGCCACACCCCTGGGTGACCAAGCTCCCCGCCCAGCCCTGCCCGCACCATAGATCTTCTGGATGCCCTGGAGGTCGTCCGGGGGCAGCTTGAAGCTGTGCGTCTCCATGTACTGGTAGAAGGGCGCCATGATGGCGCTGGGGTCGTTGGAGTGCTCCAGGCCCAGCGCGTGGCCCAGTTCGTGTACCGCCACCAGGAAGAGGTCGTTGCCTGCGGAGAGAGGAGAGGGCACGGAGCAGGGGCTTCCCGGGGACTAGGCTGAGCAGACTCCTCCCCTCCCCACCCCCAGCTCTCCACGGAGAAACAATATGGGGGTTTTAGGGACATCCGCCTGCAGAGGCCCAGAGGGGACTCTTGGGGAGGGAAGAGGTATTGCAACTCCGAGGAAGGTGTGTAGGGAGAGCTTTGAGGAGGTGAAGCATAAGTTGGCTCTTGGAAGATCGGGATTTTGGTCAGCAGGATGGACTCTGGGGGCGGGATCCCGGGGAGGAGAAGGGGGGTGCTATACACTGGCCAGGACAAGCAGTTTCATTCCACTTGGCTCTGGAACAAAGCACAAGGGAGGGCCAGCGAGCGATGAGGTCAGTCCGGCAAGCTGGCAGCCAGTGCCCTGTGACGCCACATACAAGGATCTGGCTTTGCTGCCCGGCCAGTGGGGGGTTTTGGGTGAGTGGGGGTGGTGGTGGCAGATGAAGTCATTCTGGCTGTAGTTGGAGGGAGGGGTAGAGGGAATTAGATTAGGGAATTAGGGTCTGTGTGGTAATGGGGATAAAGAGAGGTCACCCCAAAGGTTGGCAGGCTGGGCTTCCCAGGAGGTTTAGGGCCCACCAAGGCCCCTGGTTCTGAGGAACAGCATCCTGGGGGAAATGGAATGGTTGGCCGAGTTTGGGGTGAGGATTCAGATCGGGGCAACAGCCAGCACCTGGTGCGTGCAGTGGGCTGCAGGATCCCGGTCGGGATGGAACGGAGGGGGCAACAGTTAGTTTTTACAGCCGCAGCCTGTGTGGGACAGGGTGCCTTCATTTCCAGCTCTGCCCCCAATTAGCTCTCTGAATTTGGCCAGTAGACCAACCCTGTTTCCTCATTTTCCCATCTCTGTAAAGAGAATATTCGAACCGAGCCTGGCCCTAAACAGTAGCCACGGTTCCCCTGCAGAAGAGAGAAGCTAGGTTCCTGGAATCTGTGGTCCATCGGACCCAGAGCCCAGTGGGTTTCCAGTAGCCAGCTTCCTGGAGCTCCTGGGTTAAGCCTTGGCAGGCCATTATCAACAGTGACTTCTGTTTGTCCAGCCCCAGAACTTGGCGTCTCCTCTCCAAGCCCCCTCTAAGCCCCCTCTAAGACCAGGGGAGGCAGTCAGGAGCCTAGGAGGTGACCAGGAATCCTACTGTCCTCTCTGGCCCCAGGATCCCTGGTGAAATTACCCCAGCTCAGTCCAGCCCCATGGGGCCCATGAGGGTCTGGTGGGGTGGGGGTGGGGGAACTGTGTCTGGGAGGGGCAGAACCTCATGAGAAGACTCCGAAGAAGGAAGTGTGTGTCTGCTGCTCTTCTGATGCCACCGGTGTCCGTTACAGTGAGCCATGGAGAGGGAGGAGGATGGGTAAGATCATGCAAGGTTGGCCACAAGCCCGGGGCTGGCCTTCTGCTGGGGAAGGGCAGGCTGGCAGGAGGCGGCCCCCGGCGCCTTCCTCCGGCCCAGGGCCCTCCGGCAGCAGGGAAGGATGAGCTCATTTCTGAGCTCCATCCCAAACAAAGGTGGCTGCCTAGAGCCAGCAGAAGGCAGCACAGTTTCCTGCGGTGCCGGCCTGGTCTTCAGCCGGGGACCGGCTGTTCGGGGCCTCTGTGTCCTGGCCAGGTTCTTCCTCAGGGCCATCCGCAGGGGTCTCAGCTAGGGAACTAGAGAGCCCGGGTCTGTCCTCTCTTGACCTCTGGGCCTGGGTCTTTGTAGAGGGCAAGAGGAGGGCCTGCTGGTTTGTTCTAGGGACAGAAAGGAAGAAAAAGGCAGGGCACTGGTATTCTATAGCACAGAAGCCCAGGATCCAGGAGGAGGACAGAGGGGTGGGGAGACTCCCTGGAGCTGCCCAGGGGCAAAGCAGGGGCTGGCAAGGAGGCCTGGTGTGGGGACCGTATGCTCTTCCTCCCCAAGAGGGTGAGGCTACGAAGGTGAGTGGTCAGAAGTGCAGTTTCTGGCACCAGGCCGCCTGGTTCTGTAGCCCAGGACTGCCCTGTCCTGGAGGTGTGACACTTTTAATGTAGCTCCTCTGAAGAATGTAGCTGTAACAATGGTACTTTCCGCCCGAGCCTGCAAGTGAAGATTAATGAGGCAAGGTCTATAAAGTGCTTCTGCAGGTTCCTGGCACAGCCGGTGACCCTCAGCAGGGTCATGGGCTGTGGGTCCAGACCCGTATGCCCTCTAGGAAGCACTCAGGTGCTGGGTCTGCAGGTGCAAGCCCTTGGGCCTCCTAGCCAGTACCTGCATTCTCCTCGGCTACTCAGGTGCCCTGGTCTCGGCTTCCTTTCCTAGCTTAGTGCCTTTCCCATCCCCTCCTCTCCCCTCCCCCAACCCCTCCAAAAGCTTCTAGCATTTTCCTTCACCTCTGTTTATTTATTTTTTAATTAGATCGTTTGTCAGTGCTCAAGCAGAAACTGGATATTAGATTTTTTGTTGAGAAGATATTAGCCTGGTGGGGGTAGATGTGACTGCAGCGTAGGAGTTGTCATGTGTTCGAGGTAATGCAGGTGAAACGATACTGTCCCTGGGATTGTCTGTAAGAGAAAGACCCGTCAGCCCGAAACTCAGGGCCGAGGAGTGTTGCTACTTGCTTGAACAAGGTAAAGCTGCCCCGGGGTTCATGTTCATGTTTTTCTCCCTGCTGTTGTGAATGTGACCTTTGCCCTAATGAAACTTTTCCATAGAAGAAAGTCAGTCATCAGAAGCTGCTCCCACCAGGGAGCTTGTGAGTGAGATGCTATGCGGGTGCTCAGTGAATCGGGGTTCTTTTTCTCCCATTCCCAAACCAGCCCCCGGTTTCGGAGGGAGGCCCTGTTCGCGGGGTGCAGGTCTCTGCTGTGTTCCGGAGACCATTGGGGCCAGTTCATACTCTGGTTCCCCAGCTCCGAGAAAAGGCCAGATTCTTGTCCAAACTGGACATTCGCCACCTTGGGATTTCTATCAGGGTTGGCAGTGTTCCCTCAGAGATGGGGGTGGGAGGGCAGAAGGAAGGAGTGCCCGGACGGTGCCCACCCACCGGTCCCAGCTCCTTCCCACACGCATTCTGAAGTTCTTGGGATGGTGCCCAGCAAGCCCCCCAATGGCCAGGAGTGGTGTGGGGAGTGCCATCTTGTGCGCAGGGGAAGGGAAATCAGAGGTGCAGGCAAGTCCTCCCCGTGCTTCCTCTGCACAACCACCCTTGTAAGATTCATTTATCTCTTGGGGGTGGTGGTGCTTATCCGCTAACAGTGCCTGGCACCTCAAAGGGGCTAAAAAATGTTAGTTCTCTTCTCCTCGCCCCTTATCAGTCAGCACAGCCAGCCTTTGTTGACACCGATCCAAGATCAACACCTAGATAAAGAATAGGTGCTCAAGAAGCCAGGAAACTCCTCCAGGATGTAAGGGGAGAGATACCAGGATAGCGGTGGGGGGTGGGAAGGCTGATAGGAAAGAGAACAAAAAGTAAAAGGGAGTAGGCAAACCGAAATGGAGCCTTTTGTAATTTTCCATCATCTGGCTTTGGTATAACTTTGCCAAACCAGCCTCCTGCTGGGAAGTCCCTCTCCTGAACCCTGCGGCGACAGGTCGCAGGCTCACGGGCTGGAGCATTGCCAGGATCAGGGGACAAGAATACCTGCTTCCCACACTTGCCTATGTACACAAAAGCATCAAAATATCCCGGGGAAGGGCCTGGGAATCTAGGTTTAGGACAAGAATCCAGAAACGATGGAGAGGACTGCTCTTTAAGGCAGCGGGGTGCCTGCCTCCGAAGTCCAGCAGAGTTTATTAGACTACGTGCAGGTTCCCAGGCCCTTTCCCTCACGTGGTGAGTAGAACAGTGAGATGGCAGGAGCTTGGAACCTTAAAAAAGACAGTGTCCGGGTGAAGCTCATGTTCTCCGCAGCTTGGGAGCCACAGAAGTTGGCTACGCACAAGTGCTCTGGCTCAAAGCCTTCCCTCACCATCTACCGACCATGGGACCTTAAGAAGTTCCCCAGTGTTCCCTGTGCCTCAGTAACCCATCTGTGCCCTGGGGTAATAATATCTGCCTATGACATCATAATAATGTCTATGACATCATACGTAGGAAGCGCTTGGCCTGGGGCTGAGATTGAAGCACCGCTTACTATATCTCCCATCACCTGAAGCCCAGAATCCTCTGCCCTCCCTTTCTCCTCCAGGCCCCGACTGCATTCCCTGGTACCTTTGCCACAGCCTCCCTTACCCGAGTACACCTCCCTCTCCCCCACTGGACTTGGGACTTCAGGGACGAGAGACCATGTTGTTGTTGCTCAGATGTCTATAACTCTGAAGTTGGCCTGTGCCTGGAATGTCATCTAAGCCAATTCCACAGAGAAAACAGAGGGCGGCCTACTGACCCCCTTGTGACAGAGCCAGGTGGCCGGACCAGGCCCCACTTAGCTGTACCATTTGAGGGCAGTCCCATCATCACTGAGAACCCCAAATCTGCATGCCGAAGATGGACATAAGAAATGTGTAGTAGCCTATGGAATAGGCAAATGCCTGCGAGTGAATGTGGAGGAGGACGCTCCTTTGCATCCTGAAGGCTATGCTTCCTGCTCGCTGGGGCTTTTCCGTCATTGGTATTAATGGAATCCAAGGGGTGAGGGCAGTTATTCAGGAAAGGTCCAGTCCTTCTGGGCCCTGTGACTCATCTGGAAGGCTGACTTGAGGAAGGGAGAGTGGCCTGCCACTCCGCAACAGGGAGCCCTCATCAGTCAGGCCGGAGCCTTTCACTTTCAGATCCTAAACTTAGAAGCTGAAGGCCTTTTTGTCTTTTTCTTAAACTAGGAACCCATCAATTTCCCATTTTAATCATGACCTAGCCCCTCCGTCCTGACTCAGCCTCACTGGGCCATCAACCAGTGATCCGACCCATCTCTGCGGCTCAGGCCCTGGTGGGCCCAGTGTTGAACAGAATTAGAGATCACAGTTCCCATGCTTGCATCTTAGGGTCAGGGCCCTGTCGGCGGTATTCTCCAAGGGCTTCCTCAGAGAAGCCCAGGGGCGACCACCGCCCCCATTATGCCCTTACCATCATGGTTGGCATTTCCCAGCGTCCATGGCTCATCGGAGTCAAAGTGAGTGTCTCCTCCAATCCCAGGGCCAGGGAAGTAGGCATGGGCCAGGAATCCCCCTTCGCCATCAAAGGGGGAGCTGTCGCCATGGAAACCAGAAGCAAAAAAGATCATGATGTCTGCCTCCTTCCGGTCACTTTTGATCTCGTGGTAGGGCACCTCTTCAAAGGTCAGCGGCGTCACCTTCTGCCACACATCGAAAGCCTGGCGGATAGCCTTCCGGGTGTCCAGCTCCCCCACCTTTGGGGTGTAGTTGTGGATGCTGGTGAGAAAAGGGAGGGCCATTACAGAGCAGCGGCAGACGGAAGAGCAGGGCTGAGCAGAGTGAACAGGGGCATTGGCTGCCGCATGGCCCAGTGATCTTCAAGGTTTGAAGCCTAGAATTCTGCTGAGGTGCCCAGAGTCTGAGGAAGCCATCCTCTGCCCCTCACCCCTGCTTCCACCAGTGTAAGCTTGCTTTAACCTGTGACATACACACATATATATGTCGAATTTACATGTTATTAATCGGGATTTTATACATGTATCTTATCACTCCATAGTTCAGTCACGTCAAGTAGAACCGTACAACGACTACCACAAGCTGTTTCCAGACAGTGATTTCTATCTGATCTCTGGCAGAATGTATGTTGACGAAGGGATTTCCCTCCACTTGCAGGGAAAAAAAAGATTAAGTTGGTAGGCAGCATTTTCTACATATTAACATTTCCCTTTGAATCATCTGAAATACATTACAAAATAATTAAAAATACATAGCTGAATGCAAATAACCTAAATGCCCATTGGTGGAAGAATAGATAGACACATTGGTTCCCATGGTGGAATGCTACCCACTGTTAGAGAATCAGGAGGAGAGTGAGACACCACACGGCACAGATGGAGTTGCAGGGCATAATGCTGAGTGAAGTTAGCCAATCACACAAGGACAGCTACTGTAGGAAACCACTGTTTTTTAAAAAAACAAAGACAAGGGGGTGGGGTGGTGAAAGGAAGCTGACGTCAAGGAATCCCAGAAGGAAGAGAATGTTTTGAAATGGATTGTGGTAGCAATTTCACAATACTGCCTGATGTGATCGAACTATGCAACAGTATGATATCTATGTTAGCTCCTGAGAAAATGATTTGGCATCATTGTGTATTTCTGGTGGGGGACAGAGACCGATGATACGACTTGAAGAAAGTAACCCAATTTCACTGAATTGTATTTGTAGGAAGGTTTCATACCAAAAGAAACAGACGGATGGTTACTAGGGGTGAGGAGGGAAGGGAGGGGAGGGGAAGGAACAGGCTAGAGAGTACCCTACAAGAGGGAAACTGAGGGGGAAAGGTGAGCGTGGGGGAGGGTGACAGGGCAAGAAGCCATCAGAAGGTCTGGCCAGTGCAGTTGTTGGAAACAAAAGCATGGACCTGATCTGGAAGCCCCTCCCCCGCTAATTCACAATACAAAGTGTAAAACCAAAACATCCAAACAGGAAGAAGCATTTCATTGGGGGGGAAAAAAAAATCCCTTTTTAAAAATCATTAGCACCTACTATCACTTGTCTATCTGCAAGGGGCCTAGGGTGGTACCTGATTTGATCGATCATAGACTGCGTTAGTTCGTGTTACTCTATCCATACTTCCTGGCTCTCCACAAAGCAACGCCACTCCTGGGCGCGCTGCCCATGACCTGATCACGAGGCAAGGAAACTGAGGCCCAGGGAGACTGTACGATAGATATTCAGTCAGAGATGGGTCAGAACCCAGTTCTTTGTTACTCTTCGTTCACGTTCCCCCTTCAGGACTCTTCTGACGTCGTTGCCCTGCCTGGTTTCTAGAATAACACCCTGTTCTGGCTTCTGCAGCTTGTCAGCAGGAGAGTCCTGCGTTCACCTCTAAAGGTCCCTGAGATCCAGCCTCTGGACCTGAGGGCCCCCTGAGATGGACTCGGAGTCTCAAACATTGCCAGCTGAGCCTGCCCATCCCTGGCCCTGCCCCAGCCCAGCCCAGCCCCGCATTCTAATGCCTGAGGTTGCCTGTGGTGGGCTTCATCATGCCTGCCTTTCTGGGTCCCTGGACTGGTCTTGCTCTGCCAGGCAAGAAGTGGCCTTGCCGTGATTCACCCCTGTCCTCTAGGCCCCTCGAGAAACAAGGCGGGCCGGGAGCCTCAGGGGAGGTCTATCAGGCTTCTAGTTGGGGACCAGGGGGGCCAGGTCAGGTAACGGGTGGCTTGGCAAGCAGTGAGTTCCGTCCTCCTCTGGACCAAAGAAAGCTGCCGTCGGAGTTGAGCATCCCCTGAAAGCCCCGAGGAGGACAAAGCCATAGGTTCTCAGGACGTGGCCCTGATTCTCAGACCCACCGAGAGGGGAGGCCTCCGAAAGGCAGGGCAGGGGAAAGAGACGAGCCGAAGTACCTGTAGGTAATGTGTTTTTGCCTCCACTTCTGCCCCGTCAGGGCATAGCGCTTGTTCCTCCGCCTACGGCTCAGGTGGGGGTGATCGGGGACCCCACATCGAGGCTTCTTCATCCACCTGGGCAGAGAGAAGACACACATACTTTTGACTGTGGTCACTGGCCACTGTCGGAAGGTCATCACACAGTCCCCTGTTGCCAGGCTGAATGGCAGCATGCATCCTCAACGTAGACCTTAGGATGGCTCCCCAAAAGGAACATGATAGATGGATGTAGTCATTCATTCATTCATTCATTCACCCACAGGCTCATAATCAAATAGGAAGAAACATTGCTGCACTAGTGCCTGGGGATCCAGCTACTTGGCTCAAACGTTCCAGCTCTGTCATGAATCGTAGGGCCCTGGCAGTTGACTGGACCCACTGGAGCCTCGGGCTCCCCATCTGCAACATGCAAATCAGCGCTTGCCCTTTCACCTTCGAAGGCTGTCATGAGTCTCCAAGGAGAGCGTGTGTGTGAGTGTTCTGTAAGTGTGATTAGATCACATCACGCCCTGGTTGAAGACCCTCTCGTGGCTTCCCAGAATACCCAGAATAAAAGCCAAACTCCTCAGCCTGGACTGTCAGCCCAAGTCAAACCCACCAATGACTGACGGATGGACTCCAAGTCGGCAGTCCTACGGGAGAGGCTAATTTCCAACTGCCGACCGTGAGTGTGAAGCTGAGCACTTTAACCACTGCGTCTCCGGGGGCTCCTTGATGAGGGCCCTAAACCATGGGCCCTAAGCCATAATCTAGCCCCCACCTGCCTATCCATAAGGAGCCCTGGTGGCATAATGGTTACACATTGGGCTGTTAGCTACAAGGGCAGAAGTTGAAACCCACTGGCAAGCTCTAGTGGGAGAAAGATGAGGCTTTCTCAAACACTATAGGGGCAGGTCTACCCTGTCCTGTAGGGTCGTCCAGAGTCAGAACTGACTTGACGGCAGTGAGTTTTGTTTTGTTTTTGTTACCTACCTACCCAACATCTTCACCCTCTTGTTCACACTCTGCACTCCGTGCTAGCTACCATGACCCCACTGCCTCGAACAGTCTAAGTTTATTCCCACTTCAGGGTCTTTGAATTGGCTGTGTCCCTCGTTTTGTGCATGTCTCCCTTTCCCTTGATGTGCAAGAGTCTCCCCTCCAACGCCACCCCTTCAGAGGGGACGTCCCCGTCTACCCTATCAACAGCTTCCCCTTTTCAATCTCTCCACTGTCTTCTTACCCTCCTGTTTCTCTTCCTAGCAACATTATATTGTTGCCTTCTCGTTTATTCTTTGTCTCTTCCTCTAGATCCTAAGATCCATGAGCATATGATCCTTGCTGCATCCAAAGTGCTGGCCCAGTGTCTGACAGACATATTGACTGAGTGAATGAATGGATGAATCAAAACTATCCAACAGTAAAATAAGGTAGGTTGGAGACGGCACATTCTCTCTGACTCAAAACCAAAACAAAACAAACTCACTGCCATCGAGTTGATGCTGCTCACAGTGACCCTACAGGACAGGGTAGATTGGCCCCTGTGGCTTTCTGAGACTGTAACTCGTCAAGGTAGTAGACAGCCTTGTTTTCCTCCTGAGGACTTGCGGGTGGTTTCAATCTGACCTTGCATTAGCAGCCCGACACATAACCACTGTGCCACCAGGGCTCTGTGTACTATAGGGGTGTGGTACACAACCGCAGTACTTGGAATGTAACTCTCCACAGCATTTACTAACATTGCATTGTGATTTAAAAATCTATTAGCCTGCTGTCCCTAATAATTCATAAGTTCTCTGAGGACAGAAACTGTATCATATTCATCTGTCTGTCCCCAGAAGCCATCCAGTGCCCCCGATGAAGGAAATCTTATTCGTTATCAGGGAAAGGTCCATTAAGGAGCAGTCGGCCTGGGACATCACCAGACCAAACCAGACTCAATGGCCATTAGGTTGATTCTGGCTCATAGTGAACCTATAGGACAGAGTAGATCTGCCTCTGTGAGTTTCTGAGACTAACTCTTGATGGGAGTCAAAAGCCTCCTCTTTTCCTCTCAGAGTGGCCGGCGGTTTCAAACTGCTGACCTTGTGGTTTGCAGCCAACTCGTAACCCACTGTGCTCTGTAAGACCACCATGGGAATTTTTAAAAAGCCAGGGTGGGCGGTTTAGGGATTATGACTGATGGTGGCCCAGGTGTCTGCACAGCCTCTGTCTGTGCTGGTTTGCAATGAACTCACTAGGCCGCAGCGTGGGATTGCTGGGTGTGTGTGTGTGTGTGTGTGTGTGTGCGCGCGCGCGCGCGCAAAACAGTGGGCCTTCAGTTGCAGTTTTGGGAACAGCAGTGCCCTTGGCAATGTGGAGAAAAGACAGTTGCAGCAGTGTCAGAAGCTCTTTGAGGAAGTGACCAGCCCCTGCTCACCTCTGTGCCCGCACGCCTCCCCGACATGTGTCCTCTCCTAGAATCGACCATTAAAGAGAGTGGAGTGCTCAGGAAGCACTCATAAAGGGCACACGAATAACAATGGCATGCGTTTATAGACACACGTAGACTTTTGAAGGTGTTCGCATTAAAAAAAAACCACATTCAAGTCTCCAAACAACCCTGCCAGGTAACCCAATGTTACCAACCCCATTGCGCAGGAGAGAGAACCAGTATACAAGACATCGAGGGACTTGAAAGATCCAGAAGAGGGGGCAGGCAGGACTGGAACTTAGTTGAATGAACAAATGAACGACAGATTCAGACCGTGTAGCACCAGCTGGGCCTCGTTCTTCCTGTTCTTTCAGGGCGCAGCCCAAGGCACTTGTGCTTGTTGAATGAGTGAATGAATGAATGAGTGGATGACAAAGCATAGGACTTGACACTGCGGATACAGCTTCCTTTGCCCAACAGTCCCCGGGAAGAGAAGCAAGAACCACCCCTGTGTCTCAACCACGGCTGCCTTATACCTGGGTGGGCCCCTAGAGGAAAGGGTCGTGAAGCCTGAGCTGACTCTGAGGTCTTTAAATCCCATGCCAGGCACGCCGTCCGCCCAGGTGCTGGTTTAAGGATGAGTGCTTCCTCTTCTCCCTGCCTCCTGAATATGGCTCTCTGCCTTCCTATGGAGACGTAGGGGCAGAACTGCCAGAGGGAAGTGCCATCCTCAGCACCCCCCACTTCCCCCCCCACCCCCGAGTGCTCCCTCTGCCTCCTCCTCTCACTGTCCACCTGCCACTTGCTGCACCTTGGCCAATAGGCCTGGGGCTTCTTGGACCGGAGTAAAACCCAGGCCAGCTGGTGCTTCGGCAGAGACACCAGTGCCTGTGCCCCAGGATGCACCGCCCTGTGGTCTGCACAAAGCCCTCAACAAAACCTCTGCTTTGAAGAGTGGCCGGGCTCTCGGACCAGCTCACCGGTGAGTCCGTGGGACCCAGGAGTCCCCTGTCCTGACAGCATCACGGGAGCAGTCAAATGTGGTATCCCGGAGCTTCAATTCACAAACCCAGAGAATCTTAGAAATAAGACACGTTTTCACAGAGCTCCTGGAAGCTTGAAAGATGTAATGGGATCCTGGAAGCTGAGAGCTACAACCCAACATGTCTTTATACAGATGAGTACAGATGAGTCCCTCTGCAGGAGGGACTTATCCTCGGGGCAGATTAGCTCAACTCAGGACCAGGTGGAACGTCCGAGTCCGTGTCCCTGTACCTCTACCCACAAACTTGCCAGCCTCCTTCCTTGCCCAGGGTTCTTCCTTTCGTCTAAGCTCAGGACCCATGCCTTGCCACTGAGGGCACGCAGCCCAGCTCTTTGCCATGCTCCATGCCCTTCTTCGGTCTCTCTGCCTGCTCCCTCCCAACTTTCTTGATGGGGTTCATCCCCAGCGTGCGTCTCTGCTAGTGTGATCTCAGTCATTCTAGCGGTCTCACTTCCGTGCCCTTGCCCCCAGACATCTCCCTGAAACCCAGCACTTCCTTTCCGGTTCCAGAACCGCTACTGTGTTGCTCATTCAACAGCAGCCTTGGAGGGCAGGGGTCACAGGGCAAGCACAGTGCGTGGTATGCATAGGCATCAGTAGGTGCCTGATCAACAAGTGGAGCAAGAGTTTTCAACTCATCATCGTTCAAGTGTTCCCAGTGTCCGATAAGGATGTGCATCCCAGGGAACTCCCTCCACAGCGGTGGTTTGTAGACTTGGAGGTTGTTGTAGCCCGAAGGAACTGCAGAGAGTCTCTACCACTGTCCCTCGTCTTCATGATAAGGGATCAGATGCCCAGAGGGTTAAGAGATGCGTCTGAGCAAGTTTAAGACAGAGTTGGGACTTCCACCTCAACACATCCCCAAACCCAACTCACCCCAACCCAACCCAAGGCCATCTGGCCGATTCTGACTCACAGTGGCTCTATGAGAACTGCCCCTGGGGGTTTCTGAGACTAAATTTTCACGGGAGCAGACAGCCTCATCATTCTCCTGTGATGAGGCTGGTGGGTTTGAACTGCTGGCCTTGTGGATAGCAGCTCAGTGCTCCACTACAAAGGCCCCTGGAGGGAGTTCCACACAGGATCACATGGTGGGGTCAGAGGGAGGAGAGTAGGTGGAACAGGATGTGTACACAAGCCACGACAACTGTGAATCCGAATGTTGGTCCAGAAACTTGAAAGACAACGTCCCCTGAAAATCTTACTCGATCGTTGTCTGATCCAACACACCGGTGACTGGGAGCCCGTAAAACTGCTGCATAGTGGAGACTGCGGACTGTAAGGCCTTCCCCGAGTGCAACGCAGATGCCCGCGAGGCATAGGGAAGTAGATAGCCGTATGACTTTAACCAGCTCTGAAAGACACAGGAAAGAACAGGGTGCATTACGCCGGAGAAGGCTCTCTTCTGCCTGGCCACAGATATGCCCAGGGATTTGCCCAAGTAATTCATGGCTTCATGCTCTGATTTCTACCTCCTGCCAAAGGAATGTCAAAGGATCTCAGAAAACACAGGTGCCCCCGGCAGGAAACCTTTCCCTGGATCTCTGCTGGCCACAGGATAAAGATGAAATGTGCACTCACGGGTTTACACACCACCAGGCCTCCCTGCCCATCCCCTCAGCAGTTTCTACCGGCATGCGAGAGCAGAAGAACCGCGGACTCTTGGAAGCAGAGTGGCCTGTTGACAGTGGTGTGCCACCCAGGAGCCCGTGGTGTCGATGCAGAATCACCAGATCGCCTACCTTCTTTATTGGTAAGCAAAAAAAAAGAAAAAGGCAGTTCAGACAAACCCACATAAAACCCAAAAGAGGACCCATGGCTGGTGCTGGTGAGTGGGTTCTGACTCATAGGAACTCTGCAGGACAGCACAGCACCACACAGCCCACAGGCCTTGCAGGACTCGGTCTCCATGGAAGCAGAGTGCCTGTTCTTGCTCCCACAGAGCGGCTGGTGGGTTTGGTTGGCAGACCTGTGGGTTCACAGCTGAGCACCTAACCACTGGGCACCAGGGCTCCTTTCTATCAAGGAATAGACGTAAAAATACAGCAGTATATTATTTCATTTAAACGCAGGTAAGTCATTCTCTGAGTAGGAAAAATGAAGACCAGCGGGATTGTGCAAGAGCACTCTTCATTTGTAGGAAATACTGGCGTTCTTAGGCCTACATAAAGGTGCGTGAGGATTGGGATCATTCTTAGATGGGCTCAAAGAAATGTATTGCTCGAAGGGCAAAGAAAAGAGAGAGGTCGAGGGAGAATGCAACATAGTAAAATGTTACCAGTCGGGGAAGCTGGGCACAGGGCATTCAGGAATTATTTGTGCTATTCTGGAAAACTTTAAAAAGCTACCATTGTGTCTTTTTTCCCCCCTCCACTTTGAAAATTAACCAGCCTATCCTTTGGTTAGAGTATCTTGGGAGACTTGTTCAAAGTGTGTACTTCTCCGCTTTTCATATTTTATGCATAGATTAAAAAAAAAGAACCTTGGGAAACTGCCTTATTCCTTGCATCTCTAGTTTCCATTTCCTGTTTCTCTATTAATAGTTTCTTGTTATGTCAGCCCAATTTCTAGAACAAGGCAGACCAGAAATCCTAAGTAAGTTATAACTTGCTTCACCAAAGGTGACTATAACATTTTCACTGCTTTGTGATAAAATTCATCTGGCTGATTAAAAACAATATGGTCAGAGAAATATTCTTAGAACTCCCGTAACAGCATGGCCACCTGACCCTTCTCACATTGGGTACGTAAGGCACGTTTCCCACTCCAAATGATGGTAGAGCCTATCAATACTTCGTGTGACTGCCCACCGAGTCTCTTCTTGCCTTGATCCATGATTTCCCCCTCAGCCTGCAGGACTTCTTAGTTTAGCAAAAATATCTCCTAGTTTAGCCCATCATCACTCCCTCTGGAAGACTTCGCTGAGTCTCCAAGTTAGTTTATTTTCTTTTTCCTCTGTGCTCTCCAAACTCCCTATTATACTATATCTTACAATTCTGGACTCGAGTCATTATTTTACATGTCATCTTTCCCCTTTTGACGCTCAGCTCCTCACGGGAAGGTCCCATAGCCTCCTCATCCCTATGGGCCTGCTACCTAGGATTGTGCCGGACACACAGCAGATGCTTGTTAAGCAAGCGCGGATTGAGCATTTACTACATGCTAGGCTATGTGAGGAGGAGCCCTGGTGGTCTAGTGGGTTACCCGTTGGGCTGCTAATGGCAAGGTTGGCAGTTCAAAACCACCAGATGCTCCTCAGGAAAAAGATGAGGTTGTTTACGGCTGTCAAGAATTACAGTCTCAGGGAACCGATTACAAGGATCTACATGTGACCTCCTCCCTGGGGGACAGACAACAGAAAAGTGGGTGAAGGGAGATGTCAGACAGGGCAAGATATGACAAAATAATAATTTATAAATTATCAAGGGTTCATGAGGGAGGGGGGAGCGGGGCGGGAGGGGGAAAATGAGGAGCTGATGCTACGGGCTTAGGTGGAGAGTGAATGGAGAATGATGAGGGCAATGAATGTACAAATGTGCTTTACACAATTGATGTGTGTATGGATTGTGATAAGAGTCGTATGAGTTCCTAATAAAATGATATAAAAAAAAAAGAATTTTAGTCTCGGAACCCTATAGGGACAGTTCTCTCCTGCCCTGCAGGGTCACTATGAATCAGAATCGACTTGATGGCCATGAGGTTGAGGCTGTGTGTGGAAGGACCCCTGGCGGTGGAGTAGGTTACAAGTTTGAGCCTACCAGATACTGCTGGGGAGCAAGATGAGGCTTTCTGGTCCCATCAGGATCGATCGCTACCTATAGGGCTGCTATGAATTGGAATCGACCCGGTGGCAGTGAGTTTTTGAGGTGATGTACAAGACTCTGGGGACACAAAGATGAGGAAGGAGTTCAGAAACCAATAAGCAAACCCACCATGAAAATCGAGTGCGACCGAGAGGTGTTTGTAGGACTCTGCAGGAGCACAAGAGGGTATCTTATCCATATGGAGTGGGGGGGGAGATAAGGAAACTCAGGGAAGTCAAGTTAAAAGGTAAAGTAGGCCCGGTTGCCAGGTGTGGGAGAGGATGGCTAGGACACTGGAGGAGGAAGAGGAGTACAGAGAATCGGAACTGGAGCCAGATGAGGTACACGTTTAAGAGGTCTTCAAATGTCACGGAAATGTGTATTAGGAAAAAGACTACGCACGGATTTCAAAATTGTTTTTGCCTGACCAGAATCTAGTTTGAGGCATTCAGGACAATAAGACATCAATCTGTAAAAAGCCCTTATCAGAGCAACATCACTTCTGCTAGAACAGAAACAAGAACAGACATCACATCCAAGGTGGAAAAAATGAAGCTTGTGTGGAAAACTGGTGAAATCACTGATGCTTTAGGAAAAGTTTAGGGGGACAAGGCCCCAGAGGAATCAGCCGTTTACCAACGGTTAACTGGTTTTAAGAAGGGACCGGATGCTGTTAAAGGGGAATTCCCTAGTGGCAGACCATCCACATCAACTGGCAAGGAAAGAATCTTGTTTATGCCTCAACTGAAGAGGACCATTGGCAACAGCAGAAACAAGAGCCAACCCCTCATCTGGTTCAGCTTACACAATCCCAACTGAGCAAGTGGGGCAAACAAACACTCTGCTGGACGGGGGTCAAAACTGTCGGGCCCAGATCAGCTACAGACAAGCAACTGGCGTCTTAAAGGCCTTAAGATAAACAGGTGGCCATCTAGCTGAGAAAGAACAAAACCCACGTGGAAGAAGCACACCAGCCTGTCCCAACTCGTTGTTGAAGACAAAGCAGGTGCATAAGAAAATGTGGTGAAGAAAGCTGATGGTGCCCGGCTATCAAAAGATATAGATTCTGGGG